CCCCAAAACCCCAAAACCCCAAAACCCCGGTCAACATGACTTGAGTTGAATATAGTACTCTGATTAAATATCTTTGAAGTCTTTCACAGGGTACTCTTTCCAATCCTCATTTTCCTTCTCTTCCTCCATCAAACCAATTTTTGATAGACTTTTGTCTTTGGTGTTGTTCGAATCAATTGCTGGATTAGAGCACTTCGAGTGGGGTTCTTCTGCAAATTCCACTTGAGATTCTACCCGAGATTCCATTCGGGACTCACGATAACTGATGCCAAGGATTGCATGAGCTATGGGTAAAGAACAAACTTACAGTCTCGCTTGAGTTCGTCTGGAGTTACTTCCTTGAGCTTCTCAACCAATACATCCACTCTTGACTGATAACTTTCGATGTTTGGTTTGTGCTTTGAAGGAAAATCAGCTTCAAGCCAAAACTGGTGGTTGCATAAAGTGTCTGAGGTTGAGCTCTGTTTCGCTTGTGATTGTCCGAGCCTGCCTCTGGAGTCGAAGCTCATTAGCAAACGCTGATGGTCATTGGCCAGCATCTTCACAAGAGTCTTGAGTTGACGCAGCGCTCCTATGACTTCTGGCAGATCTCACTCGCGACTACATTTCAGACAGAGCTTACTTAAGTCTGTGATTAAGTTCTTGGTATCTGGACTTGGGTCTGTTCTTGACAAAAGGCAGACAGCTCTTCAAGTAGTCTTTGAACGAGAAGCTGAATGTCCTGGTTGCAAGCAGTTTGGCTCTGATCAGATCTATAAGCTTTGTTTTGGTATCGTTATTTATCAAGTGGATCATTCTGGTTGCTGGATCCATTTGAAACAGAACTTTCTTGGCTCTTAACTACTTCGTTTTGCTCTCTTTGAAAATGCTTATGGACTGGCTTTGAAGGCTTCGGCTGAATTTGGATTTCAGATTTGTGAAGACTGCAATAATTGTTATCGGCTCAATAAAGTTGATTGAAGAGCGAGTAATTATAAAGTTTGGTTGAGAAGTAATTGACGAAGAGTCCTCCAAATATGACCAATATTTCAAAGAATCCACCAAGTTGGCCAGTCAAATCAAGAAAAGAGTAGACTCTTCTTTCATACAAATCTATAGTATTATCCTGAAAAATCTCAAAGTCAATTAAGTATGGATCGTTAGTATTATGTTCATTTGTAAAATCTAAATTATGTTTTCCAATTGAATAGAATGATTTTTCTTGCTCAATATCAAATGGATACACACTGTCTAGTAGAGAAACTTTATTTTTTCGAAGATACATTCTAACATATTTTCTTATCCCTGCAGCAACTCTGAAATTATATTGATCGTCAAGATGCCCTTTGATAGGATTATCATAATCATCAAAGTCAAAATACTTAGGCCCTGTGATTATAAACATTGATAAATTTTCAGCCTTTTGGTTAATCTCAGCTGTAGATTTTCATACCACAGAAGTGCCATTCACTCACTTCTTTAATTCTATCTTCATGCTTTTCAGCTTGCTTACATAAATACTCCCTCCGATGGAGAAGTTATTTATCCTCAGAGCAATAAGATATGTTCATAAATGAAGATCGGCGAGAGTCGATCTTTTCATTTATTTTTGGATATCTCTCTCCACAGATAGAGACTTTTCGTTCTGTATCTGTTACGATCACACTATTGCTATTAAAAATCATATTCATAGTCTCGCTGAGCGATAGAAATATTGAAGTAAGTAGGGTCTATCATTGGGACACCAGATTCTTGGTACAATAGTGCAATTGCAAAATCAAAACTATCCTCTCCAATATCATAAAAATCTTCAATATTGATAATATCTTTTAGAATGCTACTCTTTGACTTGCTTGTTGCTGATCTACTGAACATCTGAATACTCAGTTGAATTGAGTATGCAATAACACCCATAATCAAGAAAGTTGAAACTATCCCTCCCAATAAGGAAGTGAACTTATCTTTTCCTCTGAATGTCAGACTAATAGGCTTCGTAAACATGTCAACAGACATGACTCCCTCTTTGACTGCGGGGATCAATCTTTTCATTTATAATAAATATTATATATCCATTTATAATACCTAAAGCGGGGTTTTGGGGTTTTGGGGTTTTGGGGTTTTGGGG